CCACCCCCCCAGCTGGTGGCACTGGGGGTCTCACAACTGAGGCAGCAGAGATGGCAGGAGTCAGGGCAGTGGGATCTGCCCCTGGCATCACCAGGCATCCCCCCAGCTCGCCCCCCAGCACCACACATCCAGGATCCAGATGAGGACTGGAGGGGAGATGTGGGGGCTCTGTGGGGTGGCCTGTCTCATCCCAGGAGCAGGATGTACCCCATGGCCTTGTGAGGAGACCAGGAGCTGAACTGAGGACCCGATCCCCCTCTCCCTGCACCCTGAGAGGAAGCTCCCGCCCATGAGATCCCCCCAAAGACTCAAGCCCACCGGACACCCACCGCCCCCGCCGTCATGCCAGGGAAACAATTGCTTCCAATGGGAATTATTTCCATACAGCTGCACAGGAAGGCAGGAACCCGGCCGCCGCGGAGGAGAAAGGCTGAGCCTTTCTTCTGGCACTCCCCTCCCTCCCCACGGCGGCGGGGGCAGGTTTGGGGGGGCCCAGCCGCCGCAGTCAGCAATATTAGCACAGCTCGGCAGGACTGATTGCAGGTTATTAACATACATTATCTCAGTCCCCTGCCTCTGAAAGGAGCCGGGTTCCTATTCCCCCTCTCCCAGCCCTCCCTCCCCCTGTCTTTTACACTTAATTACCTCCCTTATTACACCACAGCCTGGAGAGAGACAAAATCCCCGGGCAGCGGGCGGGCGGGCAGGCAGGCCCGGCCCAACTAGGGCGTAAGTAATGGGCCGTTCTGCAAACGTGCCTTCAAGGAGCGAAACGGCCCACGTGGATAAATAAATCAGGGAGCAGAGGCCGGGAGCCCGGTGCGTGGCTGGGGGGGGGAGCCGGGAGCAGCCCGGCAAGGCGACATTCTCCCAGGGCCATGGCCCTCCTGGAAAGGTGACCTTGAACTTGGCAGAAGCCTGACGTCAGGGCTCTGCGGGGACAGATGGGACCCGTGTGGCTGCCTGCGAGCCCCGGGCCAGTGCTGCTGGAGGTGGGAGAGACCCCAGGCCATGTAGGCGCAGCTCCAGGACCCCCAGCCCCGGGAATGAGGGCGGGTGGGGGGGAGATGCTGTGGGATGCAGTGGGATGTGGGATGCTCCAGGGCCTAGGATGCTGTGGGATGCGATGGGCTGTGGAATGCAGTGTGCTAAGGGGTACCCAGGGCTGTGGCTGTGGGCTACTGTGGGATGACCTGAGGTGTGGGACATAGGTTGTTGTGGGATGTGGCATGCCCTGGGCTATGGGGTGCTGTGGGGTGCCCTGGGCTGTGGGTGCCACACAAAGCAGTGAGCAGGGCTGACGCAGCTGGAGCAGGCAGACCCAGGGTGCTGGGGCAGGGGGGGTACTGCCTTCACCCCCCAGACCCAATGCCATGTGCCCAGCCAAAGGGGCTGGGGCCTCCTGAGGGCGGGGTCGCCCAGGGGTGCCC